TTACAGTTTTATGGATGGGGAGAAGGAGGAGGAGGTTTGAGTTATGATTTACGATACAAATATTTCATTATTCCTAAAACATGAACTTATTCCTATTCAATTTGGTATCCACAGTGTAATTATACAATTATTACAGAAACAAACATTGAAAAAACCCACACGAACAAAACAAAAACTAAACACAAGGTTAGTCAACCTTACAATCTAAGGTTAATATTCTTAATGAAAACATATACAAGTTTCATAAACTCCAGATCGCGTCTACCCAAAATATCTCGAACTGGAACATTAGGTTGTCTATCTCGAGCCCGAAGGGAATCGTACAGTTCAGATCTGAAGCCGCGATGCTCAGCACAAGACCAAATAATGTGATCTGCGTCCTGGTCACCTTGTCCACATTCACAGAGATTGCTGTCCCCCAGCCCAACACGGAACAAGTGAGCGTTTAACGAGTAGTGATTGGACATGAGGCGAGACATCATACGAATGAAGTCTCGACCCACATCCAACCCCTTGAACCAAGAACTCTTCGACATCTTAGGGATGATCGAATATAGCCATCGTCCCAAACTTCCTTCGCTCCATTTATTCTGCCAGCTGACGAGTGACTGTTGACGATAAATGAAGAAAAATTCATCGTAGGCGATTTGTCGAACTTAAATATCGCCTTCCATAGCGCCCACCTTAGCAAGTGAGTCCGCCATCTCATTGCCCGGAATCGAGCAATGAGATGGGACCCATGCAAAGGTGATGACAAAAGATCTTAAAGATAAAGCTTTTAGAAGCTCTAGTATTTTCATGAGAAAATACGAGGAGTGCTTTACCGGCCTCATAGAGCGAATATCCTCGACAGAACTGAGACTATCCGTAAAATAAAATAGTGGTCTGGTGGAAGTGAGGCGATCGTTTCTAGCGTATAGTATATAGCCCCAAGCTCAGCAATATATACGGAACAGGGAGCTTGAAGCATTCGAGAGGCGCTATGAAATTCGTTATAAATACCAAAACCAGCGGACGGCTCTATTAGTGATCCATCTGTGAAGAACGATTTTGCGGAATCAACTTGGCCAAACTTTGCAGCATAAATTGACGGAACAATCATTGAACGATTGAAAAACAGTGGTGAGGATAGCTCGGTACCTACCTCAAATAGGTACGCTACTCTTCCCACCGATGTTGGGGTTACCAACCCAGTCCCGGTGAAGCGGACGAAAAAGAGGAAGAAAAGGGCGTTGCAGCTGAGTTTAAGCTCGGCAGGATCGGCACCAAGGTGATGCTGCGAACAAAAGCGGAGTACGAAGTGGCCGTGAAATATCTGAAGGATTCCAAGGCGGACTTCTTCACGCATGACATCCCCGGTGAGAAGCCCTTCAAGGTAGTCATCAGGGGTCTACCAAACTTCGACCCCAAGATGGTCGAAGCTGAAATCAACCGGTACAAGCAAGCCCCAATCGCTGTATTCCGAATGACAAGGAGAGACGAAAACGTGAAGACGTACCCGGATTGCCTCTTCCTGGTGCACTTCCAGAAAGGGACGGTGACTCTCAATGCGCTGAAAGCCATCCGATCGATCTACTCCATTATCGTACGATGGGAGCCATACCGTGGCGGCCATCGTGACGTAACGCAGTGCCAGCGGTGCCTCAATTTTGGACACGGTACCCGCAACTGCAACATCAAGCCACGCTGCAGCAACTGCGCTCAAGAACACGCCACTTCCAACTGCCCTGCGGATGGAGCCGTGGCGTTAAAATGCGCCAACTGTGGTGGTGCACATCAAGGTTCCGACAGACAGTGCTCCAAAAGCGAGGACTTCAAACGCATCCGAAAACAGGTGGCAACTAACATCCAGGCCAAAGCTCTCCATCCCCCCTGGATTCTGGAGACAACCAACAGTGCAAAACAACAACCCTGATCTGTTCTCAGCGGATGAACTGATGGAAATTTTTGTCAACATGTCCGGTGCTCTTCGTAAGTGCCGCAATAAGCCCGATCAGATCCAAGTGCTCGGTAAGTTCATCATCCAGTATAGCGTCTAAACCGCTAACTATCGTCACCTGGAATGCTTGCTCTGTAAGAGCAAAAGAGCTTGCCGACTTCCTTCGCAAGCACAGCATCGACGTGGGCCTTCTAACCGAGACCCATCTAAAGTCCGGCGACAGCTTCTGGTTGCCTGACCACAACATTATCCGGCTTGAACGCACCAGCTCCAGGGGGGGGGGGGTGGTGTTGCGGTCGTCGTCAAGAAAGGAATTAAATACCACACTCTGTCCCATATCCGCACCTCTATCATCGAGGCCCTTGGTGCGGAGGTGGAGTCGTCGACTGGATACGTCCAGTTCATCGCCGTCTACTGCCCTCGACAGTGTGCCGCCAGCAGTGGACTAGCGGCTAAATTTAAGAAGGACCTGTCCACCATCACCCGTACCAGTTCCCGCTTCGTAGTTGGAGGAGATCTGAATGCTCGCCATGAGGCTTGGCGGAACTACCAGCAGAACCAGAACGGTCGTCTGCTGTTCGACCACTCACAGCATGGGCTGTACTCCGTTTGGTTTTCGGATGAACCAACATTCATCTCACCGGCGGGCAACCCATCGACGCGACCTGTTTCTGACGAATATCGGCTTGTCCAAGCCGGTAGCCTTGAACGAACTCAGCTCCGACCACCAACCGGTGGTGGCTGAACTGGGCTGCAACATGGCTCCTGCTTCAAGCCTGCGCAAGGACTACCATCGCGTAAACTGGGCCCAGTTTGGACGCGTGGTAGATAGGCACATCATCGACAAACCGCCGCTTGACACCGTGGAGGACATCGACCGAGCGTTGGAGGGACTCCACCAAGCCATAACCATGGCTGACGAGGCGTGCGTCCGACGAGTTCCTGTGAGGGGTAAGTTTATTGCCATTGATTCCCACACCCAACTCTTAATTCGCCTGAGAAATGTTCGTAGACGCCAGTTTCAGAGGACTGGAGATCTGGGCAAAAAACGTGAAATGCCGATCTGAACAGACAGAATGCTTCCAGAATGGACTCACTCCGAAATGAAAGTTTCGGGCGTGTTGTCCAGAATCTGGACGACCGCTCCAGACCATTCTGGAAGGTAGCCAAGGTCCTAAAAACTCATCCCAAACCCATTCCACCTCTCAGAGTCGAAAATGATGACGATCGGCTTTTAATCACCCCACAGGAGAAAGCAAATGCGATCGGCGGGCATGTCGCTTGATCGCATTTGCTTGGCTCAAATATCCAAAGTCCGCTCGAAGATCAGGTTGCGCAATGCGTTCAAAACCTAGATGCCTCCTCTTGTGTCGTGCTTCTGGCGGATATGATTACAGTACAACAGATTTGCTCAGCGCTGAAATGCACCAAGAACATGAAGGCTCCCGGGTTTGACGGTATATTCAACTTGATCTTGAAGAGACTCAGCATGAAAGTGCAGTCTCTTCTAACCGCTATCTTCAACAGATGTTTGGAACTGCACTACTTTCCAAGCATCTGGAAAGTAGCAAAAATCATACCAATCCGCAAACCCGGTAAGGATCCAACATTGTCTTCAAGCTACAGACCAATCAGCCTCCTTTCAGCGCTGAGCAAATTGTTCGAGAAACTCATTCTCATTCGTTTGCTCAAGTTTGTCGAGGAAAATAACATTCTCCTTCCGGAACAGTTTGGGTTCAGAAAGGGGCACTCCACCAATCACCAGCTAGTACGGGTGATGAATAACATCCGAAGTAACAAAGCTGTATCCAAGTCCACAGCCATGGCCTTGTTAGACGTTGAAAAGGCGTTTGACAATGTTTGGCATGACGGACTTGTGTACAAGCTTTGTAACTTCAACTTCCCATTACATCTGGTTAAAATCACCCGTAACTACCTTCAGCAAAGGTCGTTTAAGGTATCGTTGAATGGTTGTCTTTCAGACACGTTTTCCATCCCAGCAGGAGTCCCGCAGGGCAGTTTGCTGGGCCCCTTGCTTTACAGCATTTATACTTCCGACATTCCTCCCCTCGGTGACGGTTGCGTGTTCTTCCTGTTCGCAGATGATACCGCAATAGCCGTCAAGGGAAGGAGGCCTCGTGAAATAACAAACAAACTTCAACGATGCCTTAACGCCTTTACTGATTATGCTACCACGTGGAAAATTAAAATCAATCCCTCCAAAACACAAGCGATCATGTTCCTCCATCGGCAATCGCCCAAACTGAAACCGGCTCCATCTTGTACTGTAATCATGGATGGCACAAGGGTTGAGTGGTCCGCCGAAGTAACCTATCTCGGGATGTTGTTTGACGAAAAGCTCCTATTCCGCTCGCATGTGGAGAAAACTGTAGTCAAGTGTTCTGCGTTGGTTAGGTGTCTCTATCCGCAGATTTGCCGCAGATCCCGCCTCTCAAGGGTGAACAAACTGGCCGTCTACAAACAAATCATAGCACCTGCGATCCTCTACGCAGGTCCGGTGTGGGAATCAAGTGCACAGACTCACAGGAACAAAATCCAGGTCACTCAGAATAGAGTGCTGAGGATGGTTCTTGATCGTCCTATCGACACTAGAATAACAAATTTACATGAAGAGGCAGGCATTGCCAAAATTGATTCCAGAATTAACGAAATTAAGACTAAATTTGCACAAAAATGTAATTTATCAGAACATGCTTTGATAAGCAATTTGTATATAGTAGATTAGGTGTATATAGTAGTTGTAGGTTAGTTATAGTTGTAAATAGTAGTTATAAGTAGTCTCCTTTTTCAAATTTAAATCAAACCAATCCCACCAAGGTGGTCATACTTTAAAATTGGCTTGATAGGACTAGAAACTGTAAATAATAATTAAAATCTCACTGTACTAAAGTTGAAAAGACGCATCTGTGTCACTTGAAAAATTCATACATGTAAACCACACAAACACAAGAAATAAAGATCATTTAAAGTAAAAACAAAAAAACTACAATGGCTCGTACTAAGCAGACCGCTCGCAAGTCTACTGGCTCCTCGCAAGCAGTTGGCAACTAAGACCGCCTGCAAGAGCGCTCCAGCCACCGGAGGAGTAAAGAAGCCTCATGGCTACCGGCCAGGCACCGTCGCTCTGCATGAGATCCGTCGTTATCAGAAATCGACCGAACTGCTGATCCGCAAGTTGCCTTTCCAGCGTCTGGTCCGTGAAATTGCCCAGGACTTCAAGACCGATCTGCGCTTCCAGAGCTCAGCTGTTATGGCTCTACAGGAAGCTAGCGAGGCTTATCTGGTCGATCTGTTCGAAAATACCAACCTGTGTGCCATCCACGCCAAGCGTGTCACAATCATGCCAAAGGACATCCAGCTGGCTCGTCGTATCCATGGTGAACGCGTTTAATTTTCCCGTCGAAAATCTTACCAAACCGGCCCTTTTCAGGGCCACTAAGTTCATGTAAGAAAAGAGTTAGAGTAGATTTTTTAAAGAACTACAAAAAATAGTTTTCACCATTAAGTCACGGCTTTTTTTCTCATTGATGGCGCTGTTCCATTGATAGTAAGATAGAAATTTGAAAAAGTGGATGGAACGCTTTGGATGCATATTATGGTCACAAGAAATCATTCATTATCGTTTAGTTTTTTCCTAGAAATTTTTAATGAATAGTATTTTCTTGCAGAATGTTCAAAGGGAAGGAATTTTTATGCAAAATATGCTTCAAATGTTAATCTTCCCTTCCCCACCAAATGTTACACAGTGTCATCAAGGTACATGGAATGTTGAGATATTGAGAGTGAATTTTCTCTTTCAAATTTTAATGTTTTGGCTCTCTGGGGATTGGTAGTAAAGCGGTTGAAAATGTATGGGAATAAACCTTTTTTATTTTATTCTAGCTTATTTAACAAAACGTTTCAGGAAAAAACTGAACGACAAAGTCCGTAAACGATTTCTTTAGGTTGTCGTCAACTTTTTTTTGGGAAAGCTAAGTGAAATTCACATGGATTTCATGCATTACATATGTGATATATTTTTTGAGTGTATCCCCTGTTTCCAAGTTTGGTACAAGATAACACTCTGGAGAGCATTTTGTGTGGTCGTTGGGAGCGTGTGGTTCTGAGTATGGCGATTAGTGTGCAACATATTACGCAATTCCATCCTCCCTATTCACACGCGCCCGAGAATCGCAGGCGAATGCCACTTCGACTTGTTTCGTCTACTTACTACTCTCTGACGACTGTGCTAGGGAAGCAGCATATGCATGTAGGTAATTGGTGGATTTGTTAGTTAATTCGACGCTTTTGGACAATGCTGGACATTTATCAGTTTTTCAATATTTTCTTGTTGAAAATCAACATTCGGAAGCGATGCGTAGCCATATTTCGGATCGATTGGTGATAAAATTATTGAAATTGGACTAGGGGCAGCTGAGTTATTAACGTTCAAAATCTTTCTTAATTTGTTACATGTTCCATTTTCGGTTTTCACAAAGTGTTCCCCCATATAGAAATCAAAGACGTAGTCCTACGTCAAAAAATTACACCAGATTTTTTTTTGTATTCACCAATGGGGTGCAATTTTTTAACCCAAAAATTTCATTGAAGTTTGTCCCTTCATGCACCTTTGTGGTGCAATTTTCAGGCAGCATCTCAAAGGAATTGACGCAATAAAAGGGTTTCAATTTTACCTTCAAATCAAGTTATCAAGAAATCTAGATATTTTTTATCATAACTTTGAAAATGTGGAAATAAAAATCTTATTTATAAAAGGTGGGGCAATTTTTAGTCATCATTCAGTGCGGACGCGTTTTCAATTTGCTCGTAGCCACGTGCGTTTTCGTGGTATAGCACATTCTGTTTTTTTGCGTGTTCTTCGGTTTTTTTTTATTCTTGTGTGTTATTTTTGTCAAAATGAACTGCGAAATTTGTTCACTGGAAACTACCGTCGATACGGAATTGTGGAGCTGCATCGGGTGTGCACGCTCATTTCATGCTGCCTGCGTGGGAGTCTCAGTTCAACGTGGTTCTCTACGGAAAAGGGACAAAAAGATTGATGTTCAATCCTACGTGCTACCGTGCTGCAGTTCTTGCCAAGTGCTCGTCACGTTGGAATTTGATCTTAGATTGCTAATTGATCAGCAAAAGGCCTTCGAAAAACAACTGGATACCAACACGCAAGTTTTGCATCGACTTGCAAGCCAGAACGAAAAATCTGATTCAATTCTCGAAGCGATAGCAGTCCTGGAAAGTTCACTGTCCACCATAATAGAATCGGTGTCAACTGTAAATAACAACACAACGTCGAAAGTAAAAAATGCGGTGTCGACATTGTCGCGCGGTCTTGAAGTCAGCTCTTTAAACAAATCCGATGAGGTCGCTGGCATTAAAAACCACCTGACCTCATTATTCAATATATCCATGGAGACAACGAGAAACCGTATCGAGGACTATGTTCGTGATCTTACGGGGGATTTGTCACGTGAGCTGACGAAAATATGCGATGAAGTGACAAATTTGAGCAGTCTAACCATGGACATGGCTGCTCAATGCACTGAACGGTGTTCTACATCAAATGTGTTGACTGGAGAGCAATGTCTTGCGGACGCAGTTGGTGGGGACATTTTAAATGAAATTAAATGCCTTGCCTCTGTAATTAATACTATGGACGCACGTTTGCCGTCCCCGCCCAGCCTAATGGGCGAATTGAACAACAAAAACAACCGAAATAACAATGATGCCGCCGACTCCGGTTGGAGGGTTTTGGGCGACAGGAAGGTATGGAAAGCTGATTGGACGGAGTACGATGCTCGAAAATCGCGACATCTGAGCCAGCAAAAATTGGCTGCAAAGGCTAGTAAGCGGAGGAAGCAGAAAAGGGCCTACCAAAAAATGTTCAACAAAAACAACAACTCACACAATCGTAGCAGAAACAACAACAGCAACAACAAAATCAACCACAACAACTACAACAGAAACAACGACGACTACAACTGCAACACCAATCACGCCAACTACAATAGAGACATCTCCAATAACTATAACAATAACTATAACAACTACAACAATAACTGCAACAATAACAACATCAGCGCTCAGGGTAATCACATAGTAAGCAGAAAAAATGGCAACCACTTGCTTCCGCCTGACAGAGTACTTCTTGCGGCAGCGAAAGATCAGTTTTCGCGACCGCCGGTTAACTATCGGCCTACAATTCAATTTCGAAGGGGAGAGATATTGAACCCGTACCCGACGAGTGCTGAATTTCCACCTTCTATAACAGCACATCCAACCAACCGGTCAACTTCAGCTTCATCGTATGAGGCGTGCTCATGCAGGCACTCGTGTTTTCAACACAATTGACGCACCCTTTGGAGGAAGAAAATGTGTTTCTGCTTAATCTAATGCTCTCTTCAGAAGTAGTCTGTGACGTACCGGATGCGGCTGAGAATGAAATTGACGAGGATCACGACGTTTCGCAGGAGATGAACCTGACGCACTTTTCTGAGGCAGACTGTGACGAACCGGATGTGACTGGTAATGAATCTGATATTTTTAATAATATTCTAAGCTCTGACGAACAAACAAAAATTTCATCTGAAACACATTCTACGGAAATTGTGGTATATTGTCAGAATTTTAATCGTATGAAAAGCGCAACAAAAATGAATGAAATTTATAAAAATATACTGAGTTCCTCTTTTTCAGTTATTTTGGGCACTGAAAATAGTTGGAACGAGAACATTAAAAGTGAGGAAACATTTGGAAATGATTATAATGTTTTCAGAGATGATCGTGACTTACTCGAAACCCAAAGAATGTCAGGTGGTGGAGTTCTTATTGCTATTTCTTCAAAATTTATTTCAGAACTTATTGTTTCATCGAAAGTAAAAGAATTTGAGCATGTGTGGGTAAAGACAAATATAGCTGGTGAAACTCATATTTTTGCCACAGTCTATTTTCCCCCAGACTACGCTTGTAAGTCCTCGTATGAAAAGTTTTTCCAAATAGCTGAAGAAATCGTATTTCAATTTCCCCCTGAATTCAAAATTCATATTTATGGAGATTTCAATCAACGCAATGCTGATTTTATTCCTGATTCAGATAATGAGAGTTTTCTTCTCCCAGTCATTGGGGAAAACGAAACATTACAATTTATTTTTGAAAAAATGGCGTCTTTAGGATTAAACCAAATAAACCATGTAAGAAATCAACAGAATTGTTTCCTAGATTTCTTGTTAACGAATATACATGAAGATTTCTGTGTAAGTAAATCTATTTCTCCTTTATGGAAGAATGAAGCATTTCACACAGCAATCGAGTATTCCATATTTGTTCATGAGAGTCAACACCCCAACGACAGTGAGTATGAAAATGTGTTTGACTACAAAAATGCTAATTATGATAATATTAAAACTAAATTCAATGGACTAAATTGGAAAACCATTTTGAAGGATCAGGTATATGTTGAATGTGCCGTGGAGGTTTTTTATAAAATTCTGTTTGACGTAATTCACGAGGAAATTCCATTAAAAAGGAGACGACGCAATTATTCCTCCAAATATCCGGTTTGGTTCACTAATCATATCATTAACTTGAAAAATCATAAACAAAAAGCTCACAAATTATACAGAAAACATAAAAATCGTGATAATCTCGAAAAGTATTTAAGGATTTGTGATCAACTCAATGATGCAATTTCTTTGGCACTTTCTGAGTATAACATAAAAACTGAGAATAAAATTAAATCATGTCCAAGAAACTTCTTCAATTACGTCAAAACTAAAATGAAATCGTGCAGTTTTCCATCAAAAATGACATTGGATGAAAAGGAAGGTAATAATTCTGATGATATATGTAATCTTTTCGCCACTTTTTTTCAAGAAACATGCACGAAATTTTCAGATAATGATCGTGATTATGAATATTTTTCTTATTTTCCTGACTTTTCAACTACTGTTGGCGTTAATAACATTTCGGTTCATGATATTTGGAATGGCCTACGAGATTTGGACGCCACTAAAGGTTCAGGACCAGATGGAATCCCACCTACTTTTATGAAAAACTTAGCAACTGAACTCACAACCCCTTTATTCTGGCTGTTTAATATGTCGCTTGAATCCGGTATATTCCCGAAGGTATGGAAAAAAATCTTACTTAATACCCATATATAAATCAGGTAAAAAATCCGATATTCGAAATTATCGTGGGATTGCTATCATTTCGTGCATTCCAAAACTCTTCGAATCAATTATAAATAAAAACATTTTTGGCCAAATAAAACAAAGAATAACTAGTGCACAACACGGATTTTTTAAAGGCCGTTCAACCACCACAAACCTTTTGGAATTTGTGGACTTTGTATTAAATGCAATGGACAGAGGTAACCAAGTAGAAGCTCTATATACA